CCCCCCCCATGACCTGTATCCTCAGTCCCCCCTACCCATGACCTGTGTACTCAGCCTCTGTCTGCCCCGCTCCCGTGACCTGTATTCTCAATCTGTTATAAATCTCCGTGGATATTTTTATGAAGTAACGTTACAACAAGACGCCATATGTTAATGTTTTACTGACAGTTTTATAGATTGATACAAACAACGTGTCCTAAGGTTTGAAACAGACATCTTTTTATGATTAATAAGTGGCCTGCTAGAAATACAGTTTCTCCTTGTATTAATCTGTATCTGGTTCTAAACATACTAAATGAGCCTGGCGTTTATTATTATCATTATATCAAAGTTATCAATGTGTGGTGAACGTCCTTGGAATACACATCACCAATAGATATAGTGCTATGTTAACATATACAGTATACATGAAGATGAGGCTGACATGTGTGTAGGTATGAATATAAAATAAGTAATTTAATTCAGACAAACATGTATTTTAATACGATTTTTAGAACCTTCACATATCACGTAGAAACGATGAAAGGGGGAAAATGTACTGTCTTTCGAGAAAAATGAAATTAATATATATGTACAGTAATTTTTTTTTTTCGAAAGACGATACAAAACAATGCTTGTTAACTTTCATCACTGAACAAGAAGATGGCAAATGCTGTGAGCTACACGCGTTTCTTCCCTGGGTATCCTTTCATTAATAAGTTGACATTTCGTCGTTACTTTTGACCTCGATTAAAATATTTAGAAAGGTGGTAATTACATGCCTGGAGGCCTTGGTCCCTTTTGGCATATACTTACATACGATATACGCTGAAACAAAAAAATATCCATATTACATGTTGCTTTGCTTGACGTATACATTCCAGGCCTGTGGATGAAACCACAGGGGCCTGTTTGTATAAATCCCTATTTTTGATACAATATAGATATAAATCTGTCTACATTTAATAGGACATATGTTTGTTCGCGGTTCAACGTCCCACCAGGGTCTTATGAGGACAGGTTCCAAGGGAGACACAGCCAGAAATGGAAAGTAGACAGGAAATACAGGAAACGGAAAAAGGGGTCAAATGTTTCATTGGGGGCAGCAAATGAAATTTAAATTCTCACATGACACTTTGGAAGAAGACGCAGAAGAAAACCCCGATTCTGCAGAGGAGCTCATATTAGTCGCCTTTTACGATCATGCAGTGGGATAAAGCAGGCATATTCTTTCACCCGAACATGAATAGGTATAATAATAGCATGACCCTTATTATTCTTCATTCTCCCTATGTGTAACGTCTTGCTTTGTCCATAATTTTTACTCCAACTTGTAAACTTGTGATGAGTTGTCTGGCTCCAGTGCTATCTTGTGATATCCTGTGATATACTGTGATATCCTGTAATATCCTGTCTGTGATATCCTGTGATATCCTGTCTGTGATATCCTGTGATATCATGTGATATCCCGTGATATCCTGTCTGTGATATCCTGTGATATCCTGTAATATCCTGTCTGTGATATCCTGTGATATCCTGTCTGTGATATCATGTGATATCCTGTGATATCCTGTGATATCCTGTCTGTGATATCCTGTGATATCCTGTGATATCCTGTCTGTAATATCCTGTCTATGATATCATGTCTGTGATATCCTGTGATATCCTGTGATATTATATTACTGAAGTGAATCCATCAAAATTCACTCCTTGTTAACACGTCACCCGTTCTAAACTTAATCATCACGACTTATCACGAATTTAATTGGTATTTATACACCTATACATATACCAGGCGTCAATGTATGGGTCGTGTTTCAAAAGTCAGCGATTCATGTATGCATATATGTACCCGTACCTTTTCTCACCTGACACATGTTAAAAGCAACATGCAACCTTATTAATTACACTGTATGACACTAATAGCAATGTGTGTAGAGATCTAGCGTTCTAAACAAAAAGGGCACCTGTACTTGTCGATCCGTTGTCGTGACTGAAGGTTCGAACTCTTTACTAATGATAGTATTCAAGCAAAGGGCACCAACAAGTATGTTAAACTATTATAAAATTATAACCATTGTAACTATTGTGAAAAAAAATCTTTCTTAAAAGACGTGTTCCATAAAAATAACACATTATGGTGCTTTTTTATATAGTTATAGTTGACAAAAATTTGAATGATTGAAAATAATATAATAAAAGAAAAACTGCAGGGTTCGAACTCATGACCTTTACAATGCATCTGTACGGTATCTTAATGAATGTCAAATTATAGGAAGATGCATAAATCAACAAAGACAGTTACTCTTAGCCAGAAAAAAAACCTCTTTAGGTTGCCTTACCCACTATATAGAAGGGAAAATACTCCAATCAATAAAAATTCAGAAAGGAACTATCTGATGCAATGGTACTTTATACATTTTATTGCAGGACACTAAACACTGGAATCGTCTCTGACACACAGCTTCAATCAAGTAACAAAGTCTGGATTGTTAGTCTGTAGAACTCTGATGAACATTTTAAAATTCTGTCCATTTCAAGTAATTCGTTGAAATCATTCGTCCGACAACACGTGAACTCACAATATAGAGGTTTTATTGTAATACAATATGATGGGTTCATAAAAAAAATGTTGAATATTTGAAATGAAAAGTGGATCATGTAGCGATTGTTGATGCTATGTTATGAATTTGCAATGCATTATACGTCGTTAATAATCAAAGAATGCGCATACAATTGGATATATTACTACAGTGATAAAATTATGAAGGGAAATTTAATTATTGAAGGCCTTTCAGCATTTTAAAATCTAGTTTTATGTATATTCGACCAAATTTACAAACGCATCTCGGTTATGTCTATTCTACCACGTTAACATATAACATAAATGTATGCTCAGTTTCGTGTCTATCTCAACATGACCTAGATAATCCAATCACTTAAATAAGGACGCCCTTTTTCAGCGAATAACCATTGTTAATGTGGGTGCCTCATTTCCTTTTGACGAAAAAGCCGCGCTCAACTGATGTCATGGTTTTGCGCTGCGGCCAATTGGCCTATTTTGCAAGTTTAACGTGGATGTATGTATAACGAACTATCAGAGATGCTCATTCACGCGTGTGCCCTCTATGAATTTGCGATAAGGACGAGCTTTTGAAAGAGCGTTGTGTGAGTATGGTCACGCGTCTAGACCATATATATTTTCTTGAAATATTAACCAATAAAAAGTGTTACATCGCTGACGTGTAAGAATTATTTATGATGAATAATGGCAAAAACATATATTATAAGTCTTGGGTATTTGGTTTAGTAATAAGTCAATGTGTCAAGCTATGATTCATGTCAACATCGGAAGTGTGACGTCATATGCTGTATGTTGCTGTGCATGATAGAATGTTTATTGAGACTGTCAGTCCTTAAGTCCAAAGGTGGCGAAAAGCATGTCAAAGCAGCGCTGTTAAAACAATTACTGACTCTCAACACAAACTCGTTGTCAGATTGGATTGTTGGGTGTCAAGTACAAGAGGTCGTAGTATATGATATCTTTCTCCTCATAAATATCTCGGAGGCATGGTTCATACCGCAGTCCCGAATGGTGTTTCAGGCTGATAATTTCAAGATACATCAGGGATGGTGTATCCATACGGTGTCGGGGAAAGTAGACCAAAGATGCTTCATAAATGCTAGATCATTTGATGTCATGCCAGGATGGGTGAATCAATGTTTCATGCGTTTAAACGATAGTAGTGGTCGGAATCGTGTGTACTAGAAATGTTGTCCGAAATGGTTGATCCTGGAGTGTCCGGAATTAAATTAAGGGTGGTGGATCGATCGAGTCGGGGTAGATGGTTTTTGAGGGTATTTAGGGTTGGTTTGGATGACGAATGATCAGGTGCGATAATTTCAATGTTGTCAATGTACATAATGAGTTATTATCAGTGGATTGAGGAGTTTCAATTTCAACGGGCATGAAGCATTGGAAATTTACAATTTTACATTGTATTAACAGCCATTGCACCCGATAACCTTTAACCTTCGACACGCCAAAATAACGATCGGTTTGGTATAAGTATTTCATTAAGGTGTAGTTGCTTTGTGACGTCACAAAAGAAATAAGGAAACTTTCCATTCAATATACTTTCGTAGGTAATTTTAATGGTATATATTGCACAATGTTGAACATTATTCAAAAGTGAGTACCTGATACACAGAAGTTGTAGTGAAGTGAAAATGTGGAATATTAATATCGTATATAATTTAAGACATGTGTGCATGGTAATTAGCCAATCAAACACATAGCCTACTGAGTCGTTACTGAAGCATACTAGATACACCAGGTTATTCAGCACGGAGCCAGCATCACAGGGGCCTGACTACAGACACCAGGTTATTCAGCAAGGAGCCGGCATCACAGGGGCCTGACTCTACAGACACCAGGTTATTCAGCAAGGAGCAAGTATCACAGAGGCCTGACTCTACAGACACCAGGTTATTCTGCACGGAGCCAGCATCACAGGGGCCTGACTCTACAGACACCAGGTTATTCAGCAAGGAGCCGACATCACAGGGGCCTAACCATACAAACACCATGCATGTTATTCAGCACGGACCCAGCACACAGGGGCAAGACACTACATCCAAGCGGATGTTGTTCGGAATGCCCTCGGCCGTAATCCTCAGAATCTCACCTTCCGTGATGGAGGGTGACTCGAACCTCTCTAAATCCACGGAATTAGAAATATGTGTTAAATCTAACAAAATAACCATGCATTATATTGTAAATTCACTGTTATGAACAACTGACAAGCGAATATTCTGTCTACATACAACGGTTAAATTGACTTTGCTCACAAAAATATCGTTCAGACATTGATTTCCAGTTTGCCTATATCAAATTGTTTTTGATGACGAGTATTCATTTAACAAACAATGCTGCTGCTTGGCATGGCTTTCTCACATTATATATGCACATAACATGTATGTTCTTGAATAGAAAAATATATTAATTGGTGAAAAATATCAATTAGCATCGATTTAGAAGGAATGACTTTTCCATACACATTTGCATATTATACCACGCCTCTTTGCACGTGCCCGTTCGACGTCGACGAATAACGTATTCCTGAGTATATCCCACCATATTTGGATCGCCACAGCAGTATAACGTACCAGAATGATATAATACTTCCAAGAATACACGCAGAACTCTCCACTATCAACAGAATCTTAATCAAACAGAAAAGCAGGTCACAATCGCCTAACTCCTTATATGTAAAGAGGCGTGACGTCTGGTCATGTGACCCGTAGCAGAGACAGTCATTGGCTACATTTTCACAGTGGTTGAAAGTGTATAGCCTGGCGATGTGGATGACGGGGAATGTGCTGGCAACCAGGCAAATAAATATACAGACCAAGGACAGCAGGAAGCAGGCAGCCTGAAAAAAACAACAATATTACATATAATTACAAATTACTTACATAAGAACAAGCAGGATAGGATGAGGTAGTTTTCTTTTACACATTGCATTTTGTCTAATGGCATGTGTGTCAGTGTATTTGAAAACAAAAGCAAAGAGTAAAACATAGCGGCAATACTCAGAGATAGAATGGATTGCTGGCCGTAGTTTTTTCTAAATACGAAGAGGGCACAGGGACCTGGATATTTGTTACAGCTATAGTTGGACCTAAACTAAGGTGTTCAGAGTAATTTTACATGTTTTAGGGGTTTATCTACTTTCGGTAAAAATGACGTCCTCTATATGATCATTGGGGTGTCATTTTTCCCGAAAGTCAATCTAAACCCCTAAAACGTGTAAAATTACTCTGAACACCATAGTTTAGGTCCAAATATAGCTCTAACAAATTAACAGGTCCCTGTGAAAGAGAGTAGCCTAGCGGAGAGAAATGGCACTAATTAAGGCAGGAGAGCGCGATCTAGAGGAGAAAAAAAGTAATAAGGCAAGTACAGTAATCCATTCTACATGTACAGTCAAGGACGACTTCGAAACTCAAAGCTGATGCGCGAAGTCAACAGGAACAGAGGAGACACCAAAACAAAAGGAAAACATCCTTAATCTCCTCAAAAGTCACTCCAGACGAAGCTCTCTGTTCCGGGAGGTAAAGTTACCTACATGTGTAGTACATTTGAAATCAGAGCATACATCAAAACCAGAAGCTGAATATTTGTGCACCAACAACAGATGGTGCGAGTCTCTCGCAAAAACCGTTATTACCAGCAAATCAACATCTTAGCTTAATGAACGGAATTCTCTGAGGATTTCGACAAAATATTGCTGCTAACGAAAGTTCTAACGGACACGCTCTCAATGTTCTGACTACATGACTATACTCGATATACTCGATACACGTGTGAATTTTTCAAAGTAGGCTCCAGCGTAAGCGTTTACTGAAATCGACGTTAAGCTTATATTATACGTCCTAAATCGTGACTCGTCACGCAGCCAAAACTAAAGACGAGCAGACACAATGGTAGTAAGCTATGCTATCTAACGTTACCCACTTCAAGGTCCCGATGTAGACATACCTTTATGAACAATATAATACCATTAAATACCGAGATAAAGACTGTTCTCTCTCACGATAACGCCGATCTTCATCACTCCTTGCAGCCTCCCCGACCTGAGATAATGACGAAAATTTTACGTGGTTCATATCTCTTGCTACCTGAAACAGTATACTCCGGGTCGTGGTCCGCTACCGCTAAAAAGAGGAGTGTAACGGCTATTCCAATGTAACTGATTCAGTCAGAAACGTTGAAAATAACGAAAATTCGATTTAACTTTGTGCGAGTTGTTTTTTTAAATGTTTCATGATTCAATTTACCAATCTATGTAATTAATGGGCGAACATCCATTTTTTTGGGGAATAAGCCCGTGTTTTTATATATGAGTTACTATCACATGAGTTTATATTACTATTAGAATGTTTTCCAGTCAGAGAACGGTGAGTATTTTGGATGGAAATCCGAACTCGTTTCCGATTGAAGTTTGTCGCCTGATTGAACTAGTAACCAATAGAAAACAAGACTTTGTTCCTACCAAGTATGTTCAACCATTCGGTAACACTTTGGTTTGGTTTGGTTTGTTTGTGTTTTACGTCCTATTAACAGCTATGGTCATTTAAGGACGTGCCAGGTTTTGGTGGTGGAGGGAAGCCGGAGTACCCCAGACAAAAACCACCGACCTTCGGCGAGTATATGGCGACTGCCCCACGTAGGTCTCGTACCCGCGACCCAGTGGTGGAGGGCTAGTGGTAGCAGAATGTCAGACGCCTTAGAGAGTTGAGAATAAATTATGAACCAAAATAAACCACGCAGAAAGATGAATTGCAATTTTCTTTGTTGTTTCGAACTGAAATTGAAGGATTGAAATGAATCTGTTTAACGTCTATGATGGTATGCAACAGATTTCCGTTCAGACACATTCCCACGATGTGCTACGCTACCGCGCATAATGGCATATGTTTGTGTCATACCATCGTAAACGTAAGAACAGATGCATTTCACCCCTGATATGAATGTCATCTGATCTCAAGATGGTAGGGTTTGTGGTCCGCTACCCCTGAACATACGAATATGACGACTCAAAGTCGATGTAACAGGTTGTTTTGAAGTTTGAAATTCAAACATGTGCAGTGGTTTTCGAACTAGCCTGTGGCCTTCTTGTTTACATATATAATGCGATTAAAACATGACTAATCGTTGACGCTCCGGAGTTTTGTCTTCGAATTCTCCTTTAACTAAGGTTTGATTTCTTTTTTTAAATTGATGTTACAAGGTTCGGATGGTTTAACCTCAACGATTTAAAAATCTGTTATCAATTACTGAGATTTTTTATTTGTCAAAGCTAAAAATACGTATTTATATACCAAGTATTCACCATTAAATGCATTATTGACTTTTGAATTTTTTGCTTAAAAGCTTAAAATATGTATTTTTATTTAACTAGTATTTTCAAATATTTTTATCTAACTATTATTTTCAAATGTTTTCCGTTGATGAACGTACTTGACCTAGCTCACGTAGAACCTAAATAGAAACGTATTCTATTTATTCCTGTGCCGCTGGCAAATGAAATGGATTAGGAAACATACATTTATCTTGTATTCCTGTTGGAAATATAAAAATAAATCATCGCTTACATCACCGAGAAATATCGAAGTGTGCCGCCACCACCCTACCCACTTTACCATAGTTACTTAGCGAGACACTGATAACACACAGATGGGAGGGGGATCAGCACCCCTCCCTGATCCCCAGCATTCCTCCTTTATATAACAAATTGTTTGGTTTGTGGCGGGGGATTTCTGAGTTTTTATAGAGATCTGCTATAATGAATGTTAAGGAATGTCTGGATGTATACAAGCTATTTGGTAACGGAATATTTATCCGCGTTTCTATCAGGAAAATCTTATTACTAAGGCATGATATGTGACGCACACCATGCGTCCCTTAATGCATTGCAATCAGTTTTAATTTGTTTGCGGTTTTCTGATTTACTTGGCGGATGTGCTTTCTAGAACACCAAATGGACTGGTAGCAAGGATTTTTTTCATGAAATTGAGTGTTAGAATATATGACATAAATATTACATAAAGAATATCAAATTTGAGATATGTTTAATTAAATTAACGATTATATGAATTCTTACTTGTTTATGAAATATCTATTGAATATCAGATGATATTTTATTTATTTTTATAAATATCAAATTGGATTGGCAAAGAGTTGATTTCTATAGAGAAACGGACATTACCTTCAGATGTTCTTTTTTTTTTAACTCTAAATATCATTTCGTGATTTTTTAACAAGCTACCAATACATTAAACTATTTCCACGCTAAAACATCAAAATCTTGATTAATTCGCTTTAAAGATGATCATCTCGTTACAAATCAACTTAATCTAGGTCCGCAATATTGATTAAAAAATAATTGATTAAGTGGAGAATTGAAAGTTGCTTCGGCTAAAAATTGAATCCGAGAGAGCACTTCAGGATCCCCGCCGATTTTCGGAAACTTTTCCAGTAATAGAATTAACATCAAAGTACATTAAGTATCAAATATCTCCCGCCAAAGTTGGCAAGATTAGATTTTCATTTGTAACTATACGTGTACAGTTAAAGTGTATATTTGATTACTGCAGAAATAGATGTCAATCAACATTTATTTAGTTTGTAATGTTTGTTATTAGTGGTAGTCCCGTGTATAATTTAGACGGCCAAAACGTTTAAAGTTGTTTTCATTCCTAACAAATAATCTAATTTTAGAGAAATTTGTGAGCTCCCTGCTTAAACTAACATGATGCTCGTAAAAACTGTTTCCCCTAGTAAATTCCAGTTACAGCCAGTGTCTGGCCCCGTCTAGGATATTTTTGTTATTGTAAAACCTCCGCTGTAGGTCCAACACACTATATTTCAAATGTGGGTCAACTGAACGGATGTGTGACACTACTCGTCAATATTAGTACCACAGGGACCCATCTGATCGTTATTTTAGTACCACCTCGACCCATGCGCAAGTTCCAATATCAAGACCCATATCTCTGCCGCGTGACATTGTAAAAATTAAAATTCCAGAGAGTCTTTTATCTCCGCCGCCCGAGATCGTCAGTGTGAAAACCACAGAGATACATCTCTCTGTCACATGAATCACAGAAACCCATCTCTCCGCGCGTAAGACTGTTTATGTAAATACCTCATTGACCCCATCTCTCCACCGGGTGAAATCGTGAATAGCATTAGCACAGAGAACCTTCTCTCCGTCGCGTCAGATCCTATATATAAATACAACAGAGACCCATCTCTCCTCCGAGCGAGATCGCCTATATAATTCTCGAAGCCGCGTAATTATCGTCTTTGTATACAAGTACCACATGGACCCATACCTCCTCCGCGGGAGATCGTTAATACAATGTATATATACCACAGAGACTAAACTCTCTTCTTCGGGAGATCGTCAATACAATGTATATACATACCACAGAGACCAAACTCTCCTCAGCGGGAGATCGTCAATACAATGTATATATATACCACAGAGACCAAACTCTCCTCCGCGGGAGATCGTCAATACAATGTATATATATCACAGTGACCAAACTCTCCTCCGCGGGAGATCATCAATACAATGTATATATATCACAGTGAACAAACTCTCCTCAGCGGGAGATCGTCAATACAATGTATATATACCACAGAGACCAAACTCTCCTCTGCGGAAGATCGTCAATACAATGTATATATACCACAGAGACCAAACTTTCCTCAGCAGGAGATCGTCAATACAATGTTTATATACCACAGAGACCAAACTCTCCTCCGCGGGAGATCGTTAATACAATGTATATATATATACCACAGAGACCAAACTCTCCTCCGCGAGAGATCGTCAACACAATGACCTATCTCGTAAGTTCGTCTATCTAAATAAGAGAGAAATCTCTCCGCCGCGAGAGAGGGGTGTATTTAAGTAACTCACCTTTAGTATGAAGTGCTTGGTGCTCCCTATGTAGTTCTCGTAGTCATTAGCACAGTGGTATATACCCAAAACACCCGCCAAAAACAACTGAAAAAACAGAACAAAATTGTTTAGTTATCGACAGCAAACAATTGATATCATCATTATGAAACCAATCGAATCGTTGACAATAATTTAGTCCTAATAAGACCACTTGGCATAGAATTTTATCTTGCGAATGATAAACATGAAGATACAAGCAATGGTACCGGTAGATATATCCTGTAAATGGTAGTATTATTGATAATCAATGGTAGCGGTAGTTATAGTCTGTCAATGGTAGTGGTAATGACAATTAATGGTAGCGGTGGTTATAGTCTGTCAATGGTAGTGGTAATGACAATTAATGGTAGCGGTAGTTATAGTCTGTCCATGGTAGTGGTAATGACAATCAATGGTAGCGGTAGGTATTAGTGGTAATGACAATTAATGGTAGCGGTAGTTATAGTCTGTCCATGGTAGTGGTAATGACAATCAATGGTAGGGGTAGGTATAGTCTGTCAATGGTAGTGGTAATGACAATCAATGGTAGCGGTAGTTATAGTCTGTCAATGGTAGTGGTAATGACAATCAATGGTAGCGGTAGTTATAGTCTGTCAATGGTAGTGGTAATGACAATCAATGGTAGCGGTAGTTATAGTCTGTCAATGGTAGTGGTAATGACAATCAATGGTAGCGGTAGTTATAGTCTGTCAATGGTAGTGGTAATGACAATCAATGGTAGGGGTAGTTATAGTCTGTCAATGGTAGTGGTAATGACAATCAATGGTAGCGGTAGTTATAGTCTGTCAATGGTAGTGGTAATGACAATCAATGGTAGCGGTAGTTATAGTCTGTCAATGGTAGTGGTAATGACAATCAATGGTAGCGGTAGTTATAGTCTGTCAATGGTAGTGGTAATGACAATCAATGGTAGCGGTAGTTATAGTCTGTCAATGGTAGTGGTAATGACAATCAATGGTAGCGGTAGTTATAGTCTGTCAATGGTAGTGGTAATGACAATCAATGGTAGCGGTAGTTATAGTCTGTCAATGGTAGTGGTAATGACAATCAATGGTAGCGGTAGTTATAGTCTGTCAATGGTAGTGGTAATGACAATCAATGGTAGCGGTAGTTATAGTCTGTCAATGGTAGTGGTAATGACAATCAATGGTAGCGGTAGTTATAGTCTGTCAATGGTAGTGGTAATGACAATCAATGGTAGCGGTAGTTATAGTCTGTCAATGGTAGTGGTAATGACAATCAATGGTAGCGGTAGTTATAGTCTGTCAATGGTAGTGGTAATGACAATCAATGGTAGCGGTAGTTATAGTCTGTCAATGGTAGTGGTAATGACAATCAATGGTAGCGGTAGTTATAGTCTGTCAATGGTAGTGGTAATGACAATCAATGGTAGCGGTAGTTATAGTCTGTCAATGGTAGTGGTAATGACAATCAATGGTAGCGGTAGTTATAGTCTGTCAATGGTAGTGGTAATGACAATCAATGGTAGCGGTAGTTATAGTCTGTCAATGGTAGTGGTAATGACAATCAATGGTAGCGGTAGTTATAGTCTGTCAATGGTAGTGGTAATGACAATCAATGGTAGGGGTAGTTATAGTCTGTCAATGGTAGTGGTAATGACAATCAATGGTAGCGGTAGTTATAGTCTGTCAATGGTAGTGGTAATGACAATCAATGGTAGCGGTAGTTATAGTCTGTCAATGGTAGTGGTAATGACAATCAATGGTAGCGGTAGTTATAGTCTGTCAATGGTAGTGGTAATGACAATCAATGGTAGCGGTAGTTATAGTCTGTCAATGGTAGTGGTAATGACAATCAATGGTAGGGGTAGTTATAGTCTGTCAATGGTAGTGGTAATGACAATCAATGGTAGCGGTAGTTATAGTCTGTCAATGGTAGTGGTAATGACAATCAATGGTAGCGGTAGTTATAGTCTGTCAATGGTAGTGGTAATGACAATCAATGGTAGCGGTAGTTATAGTCTGTCAATGGTAGTGGTAATGACAATCAATGGTAGCGGTAGTTATAGTCTGTCAATGGTAGTGGTAATGACAATCAATGGTAGCGGTAGTTATAGTCTGTCAATGGTAGTGGTAATGACAATCAATGGTAGGGGTAGTTATAGTCTGTCAATGGTAGTGGTAATGACAATCAATGGTAGCGGTAGTTATAGTCTGTCAATGGTAGTGGTAATGACAATCAATGGTAGCGGTAGTTATAGTCTGTCAATGGTAGTGGTAATGACAATCAATGGTAGCGGTAGTTATAGTCTGTCAATGGTAGTGGTAATGACAATCAATGGTAGCGGTAGTTATAGTCTGTCAATGGTAGTGGTAATGACAATCAATGGTAGCGGTAGTTATAGTCTGTCAATGGTAGTGGTAATGACAATCAATGGTAGCGGTAGTTATAGTCTGTCAATGGTAGTGGTAATGACAATCAATGGTAGCGGTAGTTATAGTCTGTCAATGGTAGTGGTAATGACAATCAATGGTAGCGGTAGTTATAGTCTGTCAATGGTAGTGGTAATGACAATCAATGGTAGCGGTAGTTATAGTCTGTCAATGGTAGTGGTAATGACAATCAATGGTAGGGGTAGTTATAGTCTGTCAATGGTAGTGGTAATGACAATCAATGGTAGCGGTAGTTATAGTCTGTCAATGGTAGTGGTAATGACAATCAATGGTAGCGGTAGTTATAATCTGTCAATGGTAGTGGTAATGACAATCAATGGTAGCGGTAGGTATAGCTAGTCGCTGGTAGTGGTATTGACAATCAATGGTTGCGGTAGTTATAGTCTGTCAATGGTAGTGGTATTGACAATCAATGGTAGGGGTAGTTATAGTCTGTCAACGGTAGTGGTAATGACAATCAATGGTAGCGGTAGGTATAATCTGTTAATGGTAGTGGTAATGACAATCAATGGTAGCGGTATGTATAGTCTGTCAATGGTAGTGGTAATGACAATCAATGGTAGGGGTAGTTATAGTCTGTCAATGGAAGTGGTAATGACAATCAATGGTAGCGGTAGGTATAATCTGTTAATGGTAGTGGTGATGACAATCAATGGTAGCGGTATGTATAGTCGGGGTAGTTATAGTCTGTCAATGGTAGTGGTTATGACAATCAATGGTAGGGGTAGTTATAGTCTGTCAATGGAAGTGGTAATGACAATCAATGGTAGCGGTAGGTATAATCTGTCAATGGTAGTGGTAATGACAATCAATGGTAGGGGTAGTTATAGCCAGTCGCTGGTAGTGGTATTGACAATCAATGGCAGCGGTAGATATAGCCAGTCAATGGTAGTGGTAATGACAATCAATGGTAGCGGTAGGTATAGCCAGTCAAAGGTAGTGGTGTTGACAATCAATGGTAGGGGTAGTTATAGTCTGTCAATGGTAGTGGTAATGTCAATCAATGGTAGCGGTAGGTATAGACAGTCAAAGGTAGTGGTGTTGACAATCAATGGTAGCGGTAGTTACAGTCTGTCAGTAGTTATAGTCTGTCAATGGTAGTGTTAATGACAATCAATGGTAGCGGTAGGTATAGCTAGGCGCTGGTAGTGGTATTGACAATCAATGGGAGCGGTAGATATAGCCAGTCAATGGTATTGGTAATGACAATCAATGGTAGCGGAAGTTACAGTCTGTCAATGGAAATGGAAATGACAATCAATGGTAGCGGTAGACATAGCCAGTCAATGGTAGTGGTGTTGACATTCAATGGTAGCGGCAGATATAGCCAGTCTATGGTAGTGGTATTGACAATCAATGATAGGGGTAGTTATAGTCTGTCAATGGGAGTGGTTATGACAATCAATGGTAGCGGTAGTTCCAGTCTGTCAATGGTAGTGGTAATGAAAATCAATGGTAGCGGTAGGTATAGCTAGTCGCTGGTAGTGGTATTGACAATCAATCGTAGCGGTAGGTATAGTGTGTCAATGATAGTGGTATTTACATTCAATGGTAGCGGTAGATATAGCCAGTCTATGGTAGTGGTATTGTCAATCAATGGTAGGGGTAGTTATAGCCAGTCGATGGTAGTGGTATTGACAATCAATGGGAGCGGTAGATATAGCCAGTCAATGGTATTGGTAATGACAATCAATGGTAGCGGAAGATATAGCCAGTCAATGGGAGTGGTATTGACAATCAATGGCAGCGGTAGATATAGCCAGTCAATGGTAGTGGTGTTGACATTCAATGGTAGCGGCAGATATAGCCAGTCTATGGTAGTGGTATTGTCAATCAATGGTAGGGGTAGTTATAGCCAGTCGCTTGTAGTGGTATTGACAATCAATGGCAGCGGTAGATATAGCCAGTCAATGGTATTGGTAATGACAATCAATGGTAGCGGAAGATATAGCCAGTCAATGGTAGTGGTGTTGACATTCAGTAGTGGTAATGACAATCAATGGTAGCTAGTTATAGTCTGTCAATGGTAGTGTTAATGACAATCAATGGTAGCGGTAGACATAGCCAGTCAATGGTAGTGGTGTTGACATTCAATGGTAGCGGTAGATATAGCCAGTCAATGGTATTGGTAATGACAATCAATGGTAGTGGTAGTTATAGTCTGTCAATGGTAGTAGTAATGACAATCAATGGTAGCGGTAGGAATAGTCTGTCAATGGTAGTGGTAATGTCAATCAATGGTAGCGGTAGGTATAGTCTGTCAATGGTAGTGTTGTTGACATGCAATGGTAGCGGTAGTTTTAGTCTGTCAATGGTAGTGGTAATGTCAATCAATGGTAGCGGTAGGTATAGTCTGTCAATGGTAGTGTTGTTGACATGCAATGGTAGCGGTAGATATAGCCAGTCAATGGTAGTGGTGTTGACATTCAATGGTAGCGGTAGATATAGCCAGTCTATGGTAGTGGTATTGACAATCAATGGTAGGGGTAGTTATAGTCTGTCAATGGTAGTGGTGTTGACAATCAATGGTAGCGGTAGGAATAGTCTGTCAATGGGGGTGGTGTTGACATGCAATGGTAGTGGTAGTTACAGCAATGGTAGTGGTAATGACAATCGATGGTAGCGGTAGAT